TCCAGAAGCTCCACTGAAACCTGTTCAGCACCACAGTGACATGCAAGCCTCCACTGACAGACAGGTGGTGGTTGCACATGAGGTGCCTTGGCTGGGAACTGAACCCGGGTCTCCTGCATAGAAGTCAAGAATTCTACCACGGAACCACCAACGTCCCCCGTCGTAAGCTTAACCCCTCAGAAAACATCCATGTGGTCAGGTGTTCTCTCTTGTGACTAAGATGTTCCTCCAAAGCCTCAGAATTTTTTTCACAGACTCTTGAGCATACTTTTGCAGGGGATGCGCCCCCTTTCTTTCCATCCCTATGGTGGGGACCCCGAACACAGTGCCGAGTGCAACTGCTAAGGAAGCAACGCTGTTCCGTGAAGGCCCCCTCTTCAGAGCAGGCTGTCCCCTCCCCCACACTCATCACCCGCACCAGACCCAGGCGACTGCACCCCTAAGCCCTCAGTCTACCCCAGGCCTCTACCTGGTACCTACCCAAAGTGGTGCCTGACCCTCAGTTAACTAAATGAGGGCTCCACCTTCTCCTAGGGACCCCTCTGCCCAATTCCTGTTCATACAACAGGTGGGAGACATGTTTTTGTCCTTGTTGTGTTCCCACAGTTTCCCATTCAAAATAAAAATAAGCATGAAAGGCATGCCTGGCATCTGCCCAGTGTCTCCACCAGGAGGGGAGGCCACCACCCGTGCAAAGCCCGGAGCAACCTCCCAGAGTGAACCCTTTAGGAGCTGGCCTGACGCGAGATGCCGATTAGATGCCAGTTACTGTCGTCTTGAGCTGTGTACCCTGGGCTGTCACGTAACAAGCCAGCAGGGATTTGGGAAGCAGCCGAGACAAAGCAAAGCCCTCCCTCTGGATGGCGATGTGATCAAATATATGAAAGATGTTTACCATCACATTGGCATATTTGACTTTTTTTAAAAATCACATGCATGTATTTATTATATTTTTCAAGAAAGTAAAATGTTAAAAAACATAAGAATAACACCAATGGCCTCAAGTCCTGAGGCTGGAGGAAACTGGGGCCAGGGCTCTAGAACTCCCCAGGCTAAGGCCTACTTTCATGATAGCATTTTTAACCAAAATGCCTAATGCATTTTCTGTCGTGATTCAGCTCTGAATTCCAGTCTCTGGCGGTATGCAGTTGGTTGCCTTCTTAAACATTTCTGATGGAAGAAATTCAAATTTCGCCCCTACCCGAGTCCAGTTCTGAGAGGGCCTTTGGGCAGGTGTGGGGGGTGTGTGTCTGTGCACACCCACCCCAGTCTGTCCATGTCTGCCTGCCAGGGCAGGTCCACCTCCCTTGCTACTCTGCCTCCCTCGTGTCTCCAGAGGCTCACTGGGCCAGAAGCTCCTGGGGCTATAGCCCTCCACACCCACAGATGGGTATAGGGAGAGGCAGGCAGAGCAGTAACAGAGCGTACTGGCTTCATGAACCCATCATATTCTGGATCTGTACTCTTCATTTTTTCCAATTTATTCTATCAGTTACTGTCATGGATTGAATTGTGTCCCCCCAAAATGTGTGTCAACTTGGCCAGGCCATGATTCCCAGTATTATGTGATTGTCCACCATTTTGTCATCTGATGTGATTTTCCTACGTGTTGTAAATCCTACCTCTGTGATGTTAATGAGGTAGATTAGAGGCAGTTGTGTTAATGAGGCAGGACTCAATCTACAAGATCAGGTTGTGTCTTAAGCCAGTCTCTTTTGAGTTATAAAAGAGAGAAGCGAGCAGAGAGACAGGGGGACCTCATACCACCAAGAAACAAGAGTCAGGAGAATAACACGTCCTTTGGACCTAGGGTCCCTGTGCTGAGAAGCTCCTACTCCAGGGGAAGACTGATGACAAGGCCCTTCCTTGAGAGCCAACAGAGAGAGAAAGCCTTCCCGTGGAGCCGACACCCAAATTTGGACTTCTAGCCTCCCAGACTGAGAGTATCGATTTTTCTTGGTTAAAACCATCCGCTTGTGATATTTTAGCACTAGATGACTGAGACAGCTACTAAGGGAGGCATGCTAAAATCTCCCAGCATGACTGTGGGTGCATTTCTCTTTTTATTTCTGTTCCCTTTTTAAAATATTACCTATTATTATTTTTAAAGGGTATAATTCAGTGGTTTTTAGTGTATTCACAAAGTTGTGCAACCATCTGGAAAAAAAAAACGAATCCAAACCAGTTGCTGTCAAGTCAACTCCGACTGCTGGCAACCTCACGTGTGTCAGATAGAACTGTGCTCCAGAGGGTTTTCAATGGCTGATTTTTTGGAAGTAGATCACCTTTCTTCCAAGGCGTCTCTGGGCGGACTCAAACCAACAACCTTACAGTTAGCAGCCAAGCGGATTAACTGTTTGCACCTCCCAGGGACTCCAGATAACAACATCTCATAATAACAGTAACAATAATAATTAATATAACTAATATAAAATGGATATAAACTAATAAAACTAATATAAAATAATAATAAACACTTGCTAAGTGTCGTCTATGTACCAGGCACTATTCTAACAGTCTACATGTATTAATTCATTTAATCCTCATGACAACCTTATGAGATGAGAGCAAGTAAGGCACACAGAGGTTGAGTGACTTGATCAAGGCCACACGGCAGGCAGAGTCAAGATTCAAGCTTTAGCTGTCTGGCTCTAAAACCAGTGTTTATAACCACTAAAACTGTTTTTTTTAATTGCACTAGTCACAGTTCAGCAAAGAAAATCCAAGGCAAAGGTAATTCCAGCACCAGATCAAATTTTTCTTTTTTGTTGGTCCCTGCACTCCTTATCAGTGCGTCTACTTTATTCTCAGGGTTATAACCACAAGGTCTGAACTTCAGGTGCTCCCCACAAGTCCATCCCTCACCCCACCAGCCCACAAGCATACAAACATAAGGAAGAGGGCTTGTATGGGGACCCAAGGAGCTTTCCTCAGACTCAGGAAATGGGTTTGAAATTTCTTGGGGGAACGCTGCAAGAGGCAACCTCCAATTAGGAGGGAAGACTGTCGCAGGGTAGAGATCTAACACAGCCCCACAGCCAAGAGGGCTTGACGTGCAGAAAGTTCTGGATAACCATTAGTAGGATGAATGACAGCTGCAGGCTCCAGTGCATTCCAGTGTGGGTTGTCATCCTGGGTGGGTCACTTTTACACACGTGCCTGTGACAAGAGTCTCAGATCTCCTATCATACTTAGAACGAAGTCCAAACTTAGCCTCTAAGGGGCTACCTGATCTGACCCCTGCTGACCCCTCTGACCTCATCTCCAACACCCCTCTGCCTCGATCACCTTCTCCACTCACACTGGCCTTCTTGGTTTTCCTCAAACACACCGAGCTCACTCGTGCCTCAGGGCCTTTGCACTCACTGTCCTCCGACAAGACATTTGCATGGCTGACTCCCTCACTCCAGCACACCACAGGGCTCAAACGTGACCTCCAGAGAGGCCTTCCCCGACCACAGTATTTAAAGAAGCACCCCACCCAGTCACTATCATATCCTTCCGTTTTATTTCCTCCAAAGCACTGCTCACCATTGGGAACGATCAAATATTTATCATCACAAGTAGCCATCTAAGATGCATCAATTGGTCTCATCCCATTCGGAGGAAAGGAGAATGAAGAAAGCCAAAGACATAAGCAAAATATTAAGAGATTAAAGGACCACATGAACCAGAGCCTCCACCAGCCTGAGACCAGAAGAACTAGATGGTGCCCGGCTACCACCAATAACCGCCCCAACAGGGCACACAACAAAGTTTCGGATGCAGCAGGAGAAGGGTGGGGTGCAGAACTCAAATTCTAGTAAGAAGACCAGACTTAATGGTCTGACTGAGACTGGAGGAATCCCCAAAACTATGGCCCTCGGACGCTCTGTTAACCGAGAACTAAAACCATTCCTGATGCCCACTCTTCAGACATAGACAGGACTATAAAACAAAAAATAATACACATGAGAGATGGGAAGGCAGAGACGGTCAGGAGCTGGTTGAATGAACACAGGAAATCCAGGGTGGAAAGGAGGAGTTTGCTGTCACAGTATGGGGAGAGCAGTTAGGGTCACATAACAATGTATGAATAAATTTTTGTATGAGAGACTAACTTGAATTGTCAACTTTCACTGAAAGCACAACAATAAACAAAAAAAATTAAAAATAATAATAAATTTAAAAATCAAAATAATAATATACGGGAGAAGTGTGCTTCTTAGTTCCATCAGATACACAAGACCAAACGGGCGGCTCCTGTCCAGAGGCAGGATGAGAAGGCAGGAAGGGATAGGAACTTGTCGAATGGATACGGGGCACCCTGGGTGGAAAGGGGGAGTGTGCTGTCACATTGTGGGGATTGCAACTAATGTCACAAAACAATATGTGTATACATGTTTGTATGAGAAATTAACTTGAGCTACAAACTTTCACCTAAAGCATAATTAAAAAAAAAAAAAAAACTTTATTGTCTATCTCCACTGACTAGAACATAAGCTTCATGAGGGCAGGATCTTTGTCTTGTCCACAATGTAATCCCAGTGCCAAACAGCCTAATGTATATCAGTCTGTATCAGTCTGTTGAATGAAACTCTCAGTTTCCTCATCTGTAAACTGGGGCTAAAAAATTCCTCTCTGGCAGAGTTGTGGCCCAAATCATTGTGACAATATGAGAAAAAAGGCTGAGGAAACTAGAAAGCCCCACACGCACACTGAGAGGTGGTTATTATCATCATTACTATTACTGATGATGGGGATGATACCAATTGTTGTTATTAATTGCCATCAAGTCGATTCCGACTCATGGTGACCCCGTGTGTATGCAGAGTGCAACTGCTCCATGGGGTTTTCAAGGCTGTGACCTTTCGGAAGCAGATCGCCAGACCTTTCTTCCAAGGTGCCGTGGGGTAGGTTTGAACCGCCAACCTTTCGGCTAGTAGTCAAGTGCTTAACTGTTTGCACCACCCAGGACTTCCTCGGGTGACACCAGCAGTAGCAACCTTGTCCTTCCATACCTTCGTGCCTCTGGAACTCCTCGTCAGAGAGGCTGACGTCTTTGTGGGAGAGGTTGGTCAGGAGCTGTTTGTTCTCCTCCTGCAGATGGGCTATCTGGGACAGGAGGTCCTGCGCCTCCTCTCGCCACACGTCCTCCACGAGCTCCAGCTCCTGTGAAGGCGAGCACAGTATGGGTGAGAGCCTGCCCAGGGCAGCAGCCTCGCCCACCACCCCTCAGTCCTGCTCCCTCCCCCATGAGAACCAGGCATGGGGCAGGTGGGCAGACTAAGCTTCCACCAGCCTATATGGCACCTGTGTGAGACATAAGGTGTCCCTCCTCTGGGCTGAAACCCATTGCCGCTGAGTCGATTCTGACTCACAGCGACCCTATAAGACAGAGCAGAACTGCCCCATTGGGTTTCCAAGGAGTGGCTGGTGGATTCAAACTGCCAGCCTTTTGGTTAGCAGCTGAGCCCTTAACCACTGTGCCACCAGGGCTCCTCTGGACAGATACCTGCATTTATGCTGCTGGGACCTTGACTGGTTAGAGCTGCCCCACGAGTAACCACAAAGCTGGCACCATACCTTTTAACTACCTAAAGAGGAGACAGAGTGGGTGGGCAGCCCCAGGTATGATCACGTCCCCTGATCTTTGGACAGATACCCTCAGTGAGGGCACACCTCTCTCCAGGGGAAAAACAGGTTGCGAAGACCTAGAGAATGTTCTAGGCTGTCAGGGCCACCTGGCTCTCCAAGGGGTCTTGAGCAACTCACTTAACCACTCTGAGCCTCAGCTGAAGAGCCTTAATCTAAAGACTCACAGGGTTGATGTGACGATGAACATCAGTCCACTGTAAGCATTCTGTGGACAGCTATAATGAAGAAGACTGACAATAACAAGTGTTGGCGAGAAAACGGAGAAACTGGAACGCTCGTACATCACTGGTGGGAACGCAAAACGGTGAAGCCGCTTTGGAAAACAGTCTGGCAGTTCCTCAAAAGGTACAACATAGAATCACTATATGACCCAGCAATTCTACTCCTAGGTACATACATACTCAAGAAAAATGAAAACAGATGTCCGCACAGAAACTCATACATGAACATTCACAGCAACATTCTTCATAACAGCCACAAAGCAGAAAAACCCAAATGCCTATCAACTGATGAATGGTTAAATACAATGCGATCTATCCCTACAATGGGATATTATTCAGCCATAAAGAGGAATGAAGTCCTGCTACCTGCTACAACATGGACAAACCTGGAAAACATTATGCTTAGTGAAAGAAGCCAAGACAAAAAAGACCACATAGTGTATCATCCCATTTACATGAAGTATCCAGAACAGGTAAATCCACAGAGACAGAAAGATTAGTGGCTGTCAGGGATTGGAGGGTCAGGGGGACAGGGGTGACTGCTAAGGAGTCAGGGATTTTTTTTTTTTTCCCACAGTGATAAAAATGTTTTAAAATTGATTGTGGTGATGGTTGCACAACTCTGTGAATATACTAAAAACCACTAAACTGTATAGTTTACATGGGTGAACTGTACGGTACGTGAATTATACTCAATGCAAGTACAAGTATTGTAACTGTTGTAACAATCTCGCTACAACAAAAAAAAAATATTTGGTAAAACCATAAGCTCTTTCAGGAAACACTTCACTGTTGGCCGGTAGAGTACAGTAGTTTAAAGCCTGCTGACTTAAGACTGTACCTTGTTTTCTCCGCTTCCTAGCTGATGGCTGATCTTGGGCAAGTTTTTCAACCTCTGTGTGCCTCAGAAATGAGGAAAATAGTGTAATATCTACCTCCAAGAGTTGCTGTGAGGATTAAATGGTTAATATACGTAAAGCTCTTGGAATAGTGCTTGGCACCCAAGAAGCGCCAAGGATATGTTTGCTGATCTCTGTCCCTCCGGAGCACCTGGGCCGGATGTTCAGCATCGCCTCTGATCATCTTTTAAATAAATTCCTAAATCCCCTGCTTTGTCAGGAAGCCAGCCGCACTGGGGAAATGATAGGTAATAACTAAGTATCCACGCAGCTGGTTCAAGGTCACCGGACGAGGGGGAGTGAAGGGCAAGAGTGACGGCGGAAGTGGTGCTGGGATGCTGGCGTGGGCGTGTAGCCTTCCCCGCACAGGTGTGGGCTGGAAGCCGAGTCAGGCATTTCCTGCCCTGTTCCTTCCTGCTCCCACCTGGCACAGGCTGAGCGCACAAGAGGGTGCAGTGAGTATCGGTCAGCTGTAACCCACTGTGGCTGGCAGAAGAATGGCCCCCAAGATGTCTACATCCTAATCCCCAGAACCTGCAAATATGTTACCTGTCATGGCAGAAGGGACTTTGCAGATGTGATTACGGCGAAGATTTTGAGACGAGAGATTAGCCTATATTATCCAGGTGGGCCCAATGTACCCACAAGGGTCTTTAAAAGGTAAAAGGGAGGCAGCAGAGTCAGAGCAGATGTGAAGATGGAAGCAGAGGTCAGAGTTAGAGATTTGGAGATGCTGTGATGCTGGCTTTGAAGGTGGAGGAAGGGGCTACGAGTTAAGGAATGCAGGTGGCCTCTAAGAGTTAGAAAAAGCAAGGAAATGGATTCTCCCCTATAGTCTTCAGAAGGAACACAGCCCTGCCAGCATCTTGATTTGAGATCCATTTCAAACTTCTGACCTCCAGAACTGTAAGATAATATATGTGTTGTTTTGAGCCACTAAGTTTGTGGTCACTTGTTACCGCTGCCGTAGGAAACTCAATACACTGAGTTTCACACTTGGCTCTTTTCTTCCCCCTCCCAGTGAACTGAAATGGATGCTGGTGGAACTGGTTCTTGTCTCTGTGCTGATGGTGGAGAATTTAATTCTGTCTCCATAAGAGCTACAAAGGCTCCTTCAGGAAGCTAGCCCTGATCGACCATCTCCTTTGCCTTCTCTCAGCACCAATAGTTCTCAAACTCCTTACCTTGGCCAACAAGGCCCACCATGATAAGACCCCTGGTATCTTCCACATCCCTTCCTCGCTCAGTCTGCTCCAGCCACACAGGCCTTTTTTGTGTTCCTTGAACGCACCAACTGCATCACTACCCCAGGGCCTTTGCACTTGCTGTGGCTCCTGCCTCCCATGCTCCTCCCTTAGAGCTCTCCATGGCTGGCTCCTGCACTTCATTCAGACCACAGCTCAGCTGTCACTTCCTTGGGGAAATCTTCCTGGTTACCTCATCTACCAGGCCCACCCTGGTCAATCTCTTTCATATCTCCCTGTTTTATTTCTTTATGGCATTTATCATAACCTGAAATTTTTTACACTTAAAAAAGTCTATCTCATGAAACACTTGCACTGTACCACAGGGGAAGCCAAAAGCCATGAGTAGCCATGAGCACTTGAAATGTGCCTGATCTTAACTGAGACCTGTGGTAAGGGTTACATATGTACCAGATTTCAAAACCTTAGTATGAAGAAAAGAATGTTAGACGTGATAAGTATGAGACTAGAAGAACTGGATGGTGTCCAGCTACCATTACTAAACATTTTGATCAAAGATTCTATAGAATAATCCTGATCAAAAGGGGGAAAATGCAGAACAGAATTTCAAATTCCCACGGAATCCAGATTTTCAGGAGACACAGAGGCTGGATGAAGCCTTGAAACTACTGCCCTGAGATAATATTTATACCTTAAATGAAAAATATTCCCTGAAGTCTTCTTAAAACCAAACAATAGTTTAGCTTACCTAGAAAACGATGTCTGCCTTGAGCAGTATACTCCTTTAAGAATTAGCTATATGGGATCAAATTGACAACAGCAACTTGAAAGACTAGATTGGAACCTTAGGGAGCAGTAAGTTTGTGTTAATGGGGGAGGAACAACTCAGAAAAGGAGGGTGAAAATGGTTGTACACCTTGAAGAATGTAATCAATGTCACTGAATGGTACATGCAGAAACTGTTCAGTTGGTGTGTGTTTTGCTGTGTATATTCTCAATAACAACAAATTACAAAAAAAAAAGTCAGTACTTTTTTACATTGATTACATGTAGAAATGATAATATTTGGGATATGCTGGGATCAATAAGATATATTATTAAAACTAATCTCACCTGTTTCTTTTTATCAACGTGGCAAGCCACCTTATATTTCCATTGAACAGCACTGCACTCAAAGTTCAGGTCCATGAAAGCAAAAACCTTGTCTGTCTTGGTCACTGCCGTCTCCCCAGGGCCCAGAACAGTGCCTGGCATGTAGTAGATGCTCAATAAATATATTTGTTGTTGAATGAATGAATGAACCATATGCTGTTTACCTCCCATCCCATGTCCCTGCACGGCTACTGTTCTCTAATGTCTGTTTGTGTGTCTTTCCATCTTCCCATCATCCGCCTGCCGCCTTCAGTGAGGACCCAGCTTTCTCACTCTCTGCATCACCCATGCCACCTCAGAGGGCCCTCTGCGTGCTGTACCCCATAAAGACTGCCGCACACTGAGCACCATGGCAGAGCATCACATTGCTGTGATCTGGGTCTGAGAGAAGAGCAGAAGTGAGTCTGGGGTTTTGTCCAGAGTGGAGTTGGTAGAAAGCAGGGTGCATGCTTTACTGGAGCCATATATGTTCTCCACAAAAACAGGCTAAGGATGTGCTAAGACGACTCTGTGGAAATATCAGCTTGAAGGGCCTTTGAAGCCGCAGAAAAAACTCAGGGGAATCTCTGTTTCTCTCCTTCCTTAGCCCCAAGAACACTGAGATAAGGGGGACTGGGGCTAAAGTGGGAAGCCCTGGTGGTGCAGTGATTAAGCGTTTGGCTGCTAACCAAAAGGCTGGCAGCTGGAATCCACCAGCTGCTCCTTGGAAACCCTATGGGGCAGTTCTACTCTGTCCTTAGGATCGCTATGAGTTGGAATCCACTTGACGGCAATGGGTTTGGTTTGGTTTTTGGGGGCTATGGTGGAGTCCCTGGGTGGCAGAAACGGTTATGTGCTAGGCTACTAACCAAAAGGTTAGCAGTTCGAATCCACCCAGAGGTGTCTTGGGAGAAAGGCCTGGTGATCTATTTCCGAAAAATCAGCCATGAAAAGCCTATGGAGTACAGTTCTACTCTGACACACATGAGGTCACCATGAGTCAGAGCTGACTTAACGGCAACTGGTTTGGGTTTTGGTTTGGGGCTGGAGTAGGAAAGGAAGGATACTGTCCTCCAGTTTATGAGGTTGCCCTCAGTGTTTACAAATAAGCCCTGGCTCTGAATGCAGGGTGTCTACTTCCTGGCCGAAAGTGTTCCAGAAGCAACAAGTGCAGCTGGCTGGGGAACTCCATCTGAGTCCAGGCCCGGGGTCCTCTGATGGCTCCGAGAGCTGCCTCCCAGCCTGGCTGCAGCAGAACAGAGCAACACCAGGTGGGGACACAGGTGCCAGGACTTGCTGTGTGACCTGGGCTCAGCCCCTTAGACCATCCCCCAGCTGTCTTCAAGAGGCAGCTACATATGAGGGTTTCAGAGGTCCCTGCCCTCCCTGACCTTCGAGGAGAGACCGTGAAAGGGTTGTCAAGATAAGGTGCACTGGGTAGGCAGTGTGGGGTCTCCAGTCCCAGCCTAGGAGCACCGCAGTGACACCTTCTCCATACCTCAAAATAATACAGTAAAACCTTTGAAAGCAGAACCTGTGTCAGTCAGAAACCTGTCAGGGAAGGAAAACTCAAATATTTTCCACTAATAGAGAGCGCTAAAATAGTGGTAAGACTGCACCTGTCAAAGGCGGAAAACTTGCGAGACCTGGAAAAACAAGGCAGTCCCGTCAAGTCCGGCTCTCACGGGTTTCCCTGTAGTTTACACTTGACAAGCTCTTGCCATGGATGGGCCAGACAGTGTCCTGATCGTTTTTTATCTCTTAACTCTTTTAATCCTCACAACCCTACCCACTGTCATCGAGTCGATCTGACTCATAGCGACCATGCAGGACACAGAAGAAATGCCCACAGGATTTCCAAGGCTGTAAATCTTTATGGAAGCAGACTGCAACAGCTTTCTCCGGCGGAGTGGCTGGTGGGTTCGAACTGCCTACCTTTCGGTTAGCAGCTGAGTGCTTACCCACTGTGCCACCAGGGCTCCTTCTGTCACAATCCTACGAGATATTACTGTATTGTTCTTTCATTTTACAGCTGAGGGAACTGGGGCACAGAGAGCCTAGGTGACTTGCCCAAGATCACACAGCCTGAGACTGGTAGGGGTTTGCAACCAAGTTGTTTATCTCCAAAGTCCCTGGTCTTAGAAGCCTCACGTTAATTACATGGCTGGAGCATTTTCAACCTCCCAGTGTGACCTTGGAAATGTTGTCTAACTCTTCGGAGCTTCAGTTTCCTTCCTGACCCCAGGGAATAAGGACCCAGGAGGACAAACCCCTCAGCAAACACCACACCTTAACCACCCACAGATCTGCCCTCAATTAATGCTGCCTACACAGCCTTGGCGATTTTCTTTGAAAAACTGCTGATCCATCAAAGTACACAGTAGGTGATGGCCTGTCAGGGAGATTCAGAGAGGCCAACTCCATTTCCTGAGGCCACACAGCAAGCCAGAGTCAGATCAGGCACCTAGATCCCCACAAGGAAAGGTATTTATTTTCCTCCTATTCTCAGTCTGAAGGATCTATCAGGAGCTTCCCTGGGCTGAGGTTGAGGCCGGAAACCACATGTCCCCTACTTCCCCTTCCCCAGACACCTCGTCTGGACTCCCGGCCCAGTGGGGGAGGCGACAACTCATAAGGCCAGGGACCAGGTCTCCCAGGGCAGAGACTCAGCCTTAATGTTGCTCCATGTCAGCCCTTTCCCCAATTCAAACAGGCTGAGACTCCTTTGCCACCAAATTGGGACAAATCCCTCCCCCAACTCTGACTCTCAAGGAGCCCTGGCGGCACAGTGGTTAAGCACCCAGCTGCTAGCTGAAAGGTCGGTGGTTTGAATCCGCTAGCCGCTCCATAGGAGAAAGATGTGGCAGTCTGCTTCCGTAAAGATTTACACCCTTGGGAACCCTATGGGGCACTTCTACTCTGTCCTATAGAGTCGCTATGAGTCAGAATCAACTCGATGGCAGTGGTTTTTCTTTTTTTCTGACCCTCAGTTTCCTCATCTGTAAAATGAAGATAACAGAGTACTGTGAGGATTAAAGATAAGATCAAGGAGGGTAAAGCCACAGGGCACAGATTCATCAACAAACCGAGAAGAAAGTTGCGAATCTGAACCCAGAGCCCGGGGGTCAGTAAGCTGAGGGGCTGGAGGTCACACCCACTTTGGTCTGTGGGATTCTGGGGTGGGATAAAGAAAGGGACCTGGAGTCACCTCTTCTTGGCCAACACGAGGGTTTATTTCATTTCTGGAAAAGAATAATAATAACTAAGCACTTTACATATATCATCCCAAATAATTCTTAAATCCTGAGGTGAGTTCTCGCGTTATCACTGTTTGACAGGCGAGGAAAGAAAGCACAGAGAGGTTAAGTAATCTGCCCAAGGGCACACAGCTAGTAAATAATAAAGGTGTAACTGGAACTCAGGTCTGACTCAAGAAAACGTAATCTTACCAGTGGTATATGCCAGGGGCTGCCTCCCCTGCCTCTCTCATCCAGTCGGGTCTCCTCTAGTCCCCGTATACACACGTGTGCACTCACCGTGGCCGGAAGCCGAAGGGCCCTTAGGTCCCGGTGGTCCCAATGCGCGGATGGGCAGACCGAGGCCGCTAGCAACCCACCTTCTGGTGCTTGCGCTCCTTCTCGATGCGGTCCATCCTTTCCAGGCGCAGACGGTCCAGCTCCAGGCGCAGCTCGTCCATTTCGGGAGCGACGTGGTGGCGGCTGACCAGCACCTCCAGGATCTCCAGGACGCGCACGACCTTGGGCATGAGGCGCGCGATGGCCTCGCAGCCGTGCTGGTCGATGACCCGCTCGAACTCGTGGCCCACGAGCGACGCGATATCGTACACGTCCATGACCGTCAGCTCCGCCACGTTCTTCTCCAGCGCCGACTCGGCCGTGGGCGACGACCCCCGGCCCTCCTCCATGGCCCGCTCCCGGCCTCTCCCCCGCCAACTAGTGTAACTCCCAAACTTGCGGCGGTCGTGCAGCGCCCGCAGGGCCCACGCTGCGCCGCCCGCGCTCAGCCGGCCCTCGGGCAAGGGCGCACC